TAGCCTATCTTTTCTAACTCATATATCAAACTACAATATTAATATTAATAATCTAATTAATAATATAAACAATTCTTCAAACAACCTTAAACTAAATATAATCTACAATTTTATTCCTATAAATCCTAAACTATCAACTATTCAAAGTCTCAAAAATAACCAAATACTTTATATCGAACAACTCCTTATATTTGATAATCAATATCTATTACCATGGAACAATATATATCTTCGAACACATAAATCACTCAGAGGACCAATTCCTTCTTGGTACAAACATATTAAAAATCAAACAAACAACAATTCTTTACCTTCAATCTGGCCATCAATTCATCTAAATGATATGGAGCCTTTGCAATAGAAAGGGCGAAAACTCAAATATATCTCATTTTGAGATAATTGAGTTTAATCACTTGTTTTGATTTTCGGACTGATCCGGGATTAATCAAATTTCACGATTTTGATTGGTTAAAGGTAACAGGTGACTATCGGGTAATCTCGTGATGTGTTGGCCTTGGGCAGCCTCGTGTAATTTTTCTTTTGCATTATCTTGGTTTTTTATTATGCAAATCGACTTTCATTTATAATTGAAAAATGTCAATCATGTCAAAATTTATAAGAATCCAATAAAAACTCATTTTTTGAAAAATTGCAAAAAAGGGTTGTTTTAATTGATAACGCCCCAAATGGCTAAGGGTATATATTATAGAAGATAGAGTCTGGTTGCAACCTGATACACAAAACTTATTTACAGATGCATCCAATATGGGTGGGGGTTCAACATATGGTGTATATTTTACCACATTCAATTGGTCCAGATGAACAGATATGGCAGTATACACTATCCAGATTCGGGAGCTTCTGACAAGCTTGATTGCGATTCTTACATTCACACTAGTATTAACTCAAAAACACCTAATAATGTGGACCAATAATCAATCTAATGCAGAAGCATTTTATGCAGGATTCTGCAAGAATCTTGAAGTTAATAACATAATTGTGGAAATATACATGGCTCAAATCCAGAGCAATTTTCAGTCAAACTTGAATATATAGCAGGAAAAGATAATATGGATACAGACTTATTGTCTCGAAATAGTTACAGAGAATTTGTAACAAAAAACCCACATGCTCACTACCTACATCTGTTATTCCTGATGAATTTACTAACCTCATATCTGTTATTCCCTCACTAATCCAGTAGATCAAGGCATTGAAACGAACATAGCATACAGGCAGGGGACATCAAAAACTATAATCAAACTGACATGTGATGATTTTACAGTCAATATTACACTAGACAGACAAGCTGCAGAAATTATGGGCACAAACTCTCTGACACACAAAACTTATAATGCAACTATAAAGGGTATCAAGAATTAGCAAGATCTAACCAATAGCTTAACAAAGATGAATCTGCATAGCCAGTATCAAAAGAAAATTTGGCAAGATATATAATATACTTTTATACAAGTGTATCACCACAAACAATAATATCATACCTATCTGCTCTCAATTACTATCATACTATGAACTATATAAACTGGAACAAGACACGTTACAATCTCCTAATAAGACAAATGTTAAAGACGATTGAAGGGAACTACACATTTGCACCAATACAACAGAAAGAGTACATTATGAGAGAGCAGTTACGCCAGATACAAAGAACCCTAGATATAGCCAAGTCAGATGATCTATTATTTCGAACTGTAGCATTAATTGTATTCTATAGTCTGGCATGTTTGGGTGAACTCCTTCTATGCTCGCAGTTAAGTAAGACAAAAATTTCTATAGTGCAAGCATTGCAATTTGACCACGTAGGCGATGCGACATTCGCAACTATCCAATTATCAAGAACTAAGAACCACAAAACAATTGAACCCAAGTGTTAATCATATATTCAACTAATGATAATCTCTGCCCGATCTGGATACTCAAAACATATGTCGTCAAAAGAACGAATTCTACATACGTCCTGAGATGCAACACACTATTCATAAAGTCAGATGGCAGCATGACCACAAAATGTTAGTTTATAAGTATTCCCAAGCTTTTTCTACTAGGCACAAATATTACGGAAAACAGCTTCTGAGCAGGAGGCACCACAGAACTAGTCCTACGAGGCATACAATTATCTTTAATACAAAAAATAGATAGATAGTTGTCTGATGTATTCTTCAGATATATCCGAACTCATCCAGCCACAGTTGGCGGTGGTTCTGACAAAAGTATATACAAATGAAAGATT